GACAGAACCGCCAGAAGGCCCTGATTAGATCCTTGTCTAGGATAAAAGGAGCCTGGACCCAGGACCTCTCTTCAGCTCTATAACCCTCCCAGTCAACCAAATACTAGAGCCTCCTTCCTCTCCATCTATACCTCAAGAGATGGTTGACCATGTAGACCGGGTCCCCATCAATTAATCGGGTGGGTGGAGGTGAACTGGAGGTGGGAACAAACCTGGAGGTTATACATGTTTAACCCATGACACATGGGAAATGGGGTGAATCCTTCAGGAGGGGAGGCCACCAGGTTCACCACCTTGGCAATAGGAAATGGCTCCATTAAGGGGAGCCAGCTTCTTATATTCCACCTTAAGGGGCAGATCTTTGGTGGAGAGCCAAACTCTTTGACCCACCCAGTAAGTCGGTGCTAGAACCTGTAACTATAAGGAGAGCGGAGACAGAGGACACTCCAAAATTACTGATGAGAACCTGCTACCAACAAGGTTTGCTCTGAGGAGAATGTTACTATGGCAACAGAAACAGAGGCTGAGGAAACTCTCTTTGTAAAACTGAAAATTCAGAGTTCCCCTGATTTCAGTTTGTTCATGAAGCCGATGTCCTGTAGAAGGAGGCCCAGAGCCGCCTCCTTCCACCTCCTGAGGAGGCTGAGGTCCTTTGCAGTGAGCAGGCCCCAGCTTCAAACCTTCTCTGACTCTGGGGGGGCATCAGCCCTCCTCTACGCTGTCGTCTGCTGAGCCCCTGGCAGCGCAGAATTCTGTCCTAGGCTGCACTCTGGACTCAGTGGCTGAGAGGAGGGTGCTGTCCAAGCTTCCATCCATCATGGACACCACCTTCCACCCTCTGCAGCAGACTGGAGAGGAGCTGAGCAGCTCCTTTAGTCAAAGACTTTTACACCCTGTTTGGAAAAAGGAGCGCTACTGCAGGTCATTCATCCCTGCTGCAACCAGACTCTACAATGACACGCTACAACCACAATAACTGCTGCAATGGAGAATGTGCAATTTCAGACACCCCAAGTCTCTCTGAAGTTCTGGGAATCTCCTTTATATAGATAGTTGGATCATTTATCCCAGATTTTAGACAATGCGAGGTGGTGTTTTTTTAATGCGAGTGAGAGCGTGCACGCAATACAATAATTTGTGCATCATGTGCGGATTAGAACTACTTCGATTGCGCAGACAACAAGAGAGAGCGGGTGTGAGGAGGAGGTTGGCTGTCCAAAGCGATGCTCTGTTCAATGAGCGTTCCAGGCGACCAGTTGTCAGATAGCGCGCTGATTGAAAAATAAGCCAATAAATTTCGGTTTACTCTCTGACAATCACCTAGTTACCACTCAAAGCTGTGCATCCTGTGAAATGGCAGAGGTTGAATCCTCGAGTACAAAACTAAAATATAAGACTAATTTTACAGCAAAATATACTAAATGATATCCACATCAAGTGAAGGAGAGGAATGCTGAAGAGTGAAGATAAGCATCTTCCTGAAATGAGTTTTCGGAACTTGGGATGCTTGCAATTACTATTTGATACCCTGTGCAATAACCTGTTTCTCTACATTTGACACCTAGTGCAATAACTATGTATAAATATAAATCTATTAAAATACCCATGTAAACACCCTGTGCAATAACCCTGTATAATGATCCTATTATTAAAAACAAGCCGCCATATATGGATACACTAAATATACTGTATATATCCCATGCACCTTTTTCTTCCTTTGGCACCTTCTTTGACTCTCCTTTGACTATTTGAGCTGATGGAAGGAGTACATTTGTCCACTGTGAGACCAATAAAGTCAATTAATCAATCAATCATCATTTCATGGGTTCCTCCTCAGTTGATTAAATAGGCCTACCATGTGGCTGTTCAGTAAACCTGAAAATGTCATATAGATAGCAACTCCAGAAATATGTTTACTGAGAAAAATTATGTCTCTTCAATACCTATTTCACCCACTGTATGTCTCCACGCGGGTAAGAAATCTAAACGCCCTCAATCTAATTCCACAGATAAACATTTCCATATTTTACTTGAAGAAAACCTGCGTTTTCTCACAAGCATCAGTTGATTAACAGAAAGTTGGATGTGCTTCACAAAGGAGAGGTGTGTTGAACTCTCCAGAGACAGCTCTAAAAACATTCAGGTGTTGGGTAACGGCATCACATGCAGCTGAGGGCTTTGTGTAAACGGCTGCTCTGTGGAAAGTGATCTAAGATGCCCTAATTGCAGGTCGAATGTTGGTGAAAGTGATTTGGTTCCCAGCGTGCGTCTGTGTCTGTCACATCAATATTCTTTCAATCCTTTAATTAAACATCAGCTGTCAGCCCGTCCCCCCCCCACCCCATCCCCCACCTCAAAACACACACATAGCACCTTCCTGACCCATCCACTCTTTTTATGACAGCAGATAATCGTCTCTGATTCAGTCACTAGCGGTGAGAAGATTCTAGGGAACCGTAATTAGTGAACAACACCACACCTTACCTCTCTCTTTTTATTAGACAACAATTTTCTTTGCCCTCTTCCTTACTTTGCAGGTAGAGTGAGATGAATGGATGGATGGATGAGAGGCGATCTTCACACAGAGCTCCTGTCAGCTGCGACCTTTGCAGGTTGTGACCGACCAGGGGGAGCAAAGTCATTATCAGTCTTTATCCTTTGTGTGTCAGGAGCCCCGCTGAGAGCAGAATAGCTCTGTCATTTAGGTCACTGCTTCTGAAGCATTTACGGCTTTATTCTTCTGGTCGCAAAACATCATCAGTTTAGGCTTTCATTTCCAACACTTTCAGATTTATGAACCAAATTCAGTCAATTTTATGATGCAGGTATATTCTAAATAGAGTGAAACTGCTGAAATTCAGTCATTAAGAAGCATCTGGGTTTGTGTCTTTGTTATTAAGTCTGGCTGGATCCAGATTAGACTTTTTTTCAGCATTTTATTGTCATTCCTACAGAATTTTTTTTCAATTTAGTATTGGAAAAAAGTCAGAATTCTGACTTTTTTTTTCAGAATTCTGACTCTTTTTAAAATTCTGACTTTAATCTCAGAATTCTGACTTTTTTCTCAGAATTCTGGCTTTTTTCTTAAAATTCGGACTTTAATCTT